AAAGCTGTTGAGACAATGTCAACCCATACTCGACGCCCAACGTCGAAGTTGGTGTTCCATTCGGAGACGAGCTAAGGCAACTTCCATGCTCACCGGTCATCAGACGAAACTGCATGACAAGTCATCCATTTGTCCTTGTCAGTACTCACCTGCAGCATTTCCAACCAGAAGGGGGTCAAAGGAGCCCAAATAATGCTGCTGATGTTGCTGCTACTTGTCATACCATTGATGGAATGACCTAGCAAGGTATACAGATTCATTGATCATCCGCGTGGGAACGATCAGCAAGCGGAGAGCCCTCACAACCTGCGATCAGCCCACACGACACCCGCAAGGCAGGCCGTGATGGCACGGCCAGGGGCCACGGCACTCTAGCTGAAGCCGCGAGACAGGAGAGGACCATGCATGGCAGCGTGCTGCGCCCTCGTCCCGTTTGGGCCATGTGCATGAATGGCGCAGGGAATCCTTCGCGGAGCCTGTGATGAATGTCAAGTCGGCGGCGGGCTGATCTATCCCATGATGTCGTGCTTCGAGCTCAGACGTTGCCTCATCAAGCGGATTGGCGGCCCTCTCTTGGTTCTGCATCATCTCGTCGCGCTCGAGATTGGTGTTGTGCAGGCGCTGGTCCACCGCATGACCCGACGCTGAAGCGAATGCAAAAAGTATCGAGATGCGACTGTGGGAAGGTTGTGCTGCACATTGAATGACTCAACGGACAGGAACATGAAGCTTTCGAGCCAGGAAGAGAGATGATGCTCCTGCTGCTAAACCTTGCTGCGGTTCAGAATGGAATCTGGACTCGACCACACAGTCGAGGCGATGAGGCCTTGGTTCGCGCTGCGAGCTGTGGGTTGACGGGTGCTTACCTGCAACATATGCAGCCTCGTGGAGCCAAGAGTATCGCGGTATCAGCCTGTGGCACAACATCCCCAAACCAAGCCGAGCATTGTGCTCTGATTGACGATCCTCAGACACTATCAGGTGAAGTCATACGGCGGCTCACAGCGACAACGTGGGAACGATAGCTTGATGGCGATCCCACATGCGGCTCTGATTACATGGTCGGCTTCCATGTACCGGTTCTCTGCTCAAGCTGAGCCTTTAGGTCGTTCCCGCTCATGCCGATGCACACCAGGCACGCACGCATTGACAGTCATCATAGCAACAGTCCTTTCACAGAATTTCCACGTAAGCGTCTAGAGAGTCTATCATTCATCAATTCACAAGCAAGAACCCGCCGAAGACTATTGTATCGCTACCGTAATTTTGAAATTTATCCCGGGGGGGTAAGGGCAGGGTAGGGGGAAAAGTGCAACCATCAACTCCGCGAAATATGAATTCGTAACCAGCAAAGCTCACGCAGCGCCAACGTTACAGGGGAGCGTTGGTGAAGAGATACGAGACGGACTCGCCATTGTGGGTTCTCCGGATGGCCTGCGTGGGATATCAGTATGCGTGGTACATCGAACTGACGGACAAGGGGGGGGGGAGCGTACCTCGGCCAACGTTGCCGACACGTCAATGACCTTGAGCTTGGGGCATCGCTCGACCTTGTCACCGACTGGGATTCGCGGGTTAGTTTTATATTTCGGGGTGGTACAACGGCCAAGTTTCCAGGATTGCTGTTCGGGAAGCGGACGTGGTCAGATAACTTACGGGGCACAGCTGTGGAGGCTTGTCAGCAATGCGGTTCTGTGGATACTGCCGAGGGAGAAACTCACTATTCGTCACAACAACGCCAGAGAGGCAGGACTGGTTGATCGTCTCAATGGCGTTACCGCTGAGGATGCCGTGCGTGACAATGGCGAAGACCTGGCGAGCGCCGTGCTCGTTGAGGGTAGCGGCGGCTTTCGCGAGCTGCGTGTGTTTCTAAGTTAGCAGACTGCATATGGGCCCCGACGAAAGGGACAGCGCAGGAGTCGCAATGGGGGCGCGTAGCGTACAGTTCCGCACGTGTCGGCCATGTCATCGACAATGATGGCGACCTTGTCCTGGACGTCACCGACGAGCACCATGCGGCCGACAACGTTGGGGCGCGGCCTCTCCTTGTGGATGAGCGCAAAGGCCGTGTTCAGGCGATCGGCGATGGAAGTGGCGCGCTTGGCGCCGCCGGCGTCGGGGGAGACGATGACGGTGTTCTCGACGTCGAGGTTCTTGCGGATCCAGTGGAGGATGGACGGTTCGGCGTAGAGGTTGTCAACGGGGACGTTGAAGAAGCCCTGGATCTGGGAGGCGTGCAGGTCCATCGTGATGACGTGGTTCTGGAAGACGAGCGTGTCAGAGACGACTGGCACTGGAAGCCCCTTCAGGGAGCCTTCAGGGAGAAAGGGGTTTGAGGGGGGCTAGGCGTGGGAGCTTACGCAGCCGGACACCTCGAGCATCTTTGCCATGAGCTTGGCGCTGATCGGGGCGCGAGACTTGTCCTTCTTGTCCTGGCGGCCGTAGGGGAAGTTGGGGAGGATGATGGTGATGCGGCGCGCCGAGGCGCTGCGGCAGGCGCTGATCATGATGAACAGCTCCATGAGGCCGTCGTTGACCTCGCCGGGGGCCGTCGACTGGAGAATGAAGACATCTTCGTCGCGAACCGACTCGCCAATGATGACCCTCGTCTCCTGGTTCGAATATTGCAGGCTCGTTGTGTTGGCGACTTCGATTCCGAGTCTGCAGCGGGCGTTAGCTCCATTGTGTTCCGTTCCGCGCACCCTGCCTTGGTGCCGTCACTCTTGGGCATTGCGCCCCGAGAGCTCCCTTGGGGCAGCCGCCCTCCCCCCGCGTCAGCAGTCCCAGAAACGTACCGGCTCGCCATCAGAGCGCTGAGTTCCGGGTGCCCGCTCCCGGATAGGAGCCTGATCTCGTTCGCCATTTGATCGAGCATTGCAGGTGGTTTACAGATGGCCGACAGCGGGGTCCAAGGCTTGGAATTTTTTGGCTTGAGCGACGAAAGAAAGAATATGCCCCACGTCAATTGCGTCGTTCGGCCCGAGAGAAAATCCACTCCCGGCCGACCGCACCCGGAGGCCCCACCCTGACGACTCGCGCAGTTCAATGTACCTGACTCGATGAATATAGAGGCATGGCTTGAAAGTAAGCCATATTCCTCATAGCTCACTAGCACCATCAGTAGACCCAAGCAATATGTGCCTGGGAATAAACCCTCAGTCGCCTGCAGTGGAAACGGGCGTCGAGGGAAATAGCACAATGCTCCGCAAGTCACCTTCCCCCAGGAGTAATTGAAGATGATTATCAAAAGGGGTTCGTCCGTCGTACTGCCCGCTAATTCCGTCAGTCCATGGTTGCGTTGCGTAGTGTACAGTCTCCGACCCAGTCCCAAGTAGCACGTCGCCTCACCGTCCTCGCTGTGTGCCAGCAACGTCCCTTGCTCGTCTTTGCATGCGCGCGCATGCACCATACACCCAGTCATCTGAAGCCATTGCCACGTTTCTCTCTCTCTCTCTCTCTCTCTCTCTCTCTCAGAAGAAACAACAAAACACGCACAGGCACGCACCCTACAGCGACAGGTTGTAGCTGTACTCATCCTCCATGTTCTGGCTGACCCAGAGCACGACGCTGCTCAGCATGACGAGGGCATTGGCCACGACGTTCTCGACGCCCATGCTCAGCGCCGGCATGGCCACGCCTCGGACGACAAACTTGAGCACAAAGACGGTGACGCCGCCGGCCATGCCGCCGGCGAGGGCCGCGAAGCCAAGGAACAGCACGACGCGCGCCTTCCACGCGACGCCGTTGCCCGAGTAGCTGAAGCTGTCGGCCGACAGCCGCGTCTTCTCGACGCTGTTGATGATGAGCATGCCCAGGCTGCTGAAGAGGAGGGGCAGCCAGTCGACAAAGGTGACGTGCGTGTCCGAGCCGTTGAGCGTCTTGGACCACACGGCGCTGTCGAGCATGACGTAGAAGGCGAGGGAGAACTGGCGGAGCGGGGTGCGTGTCAGCTCGGCGAGACGAAGACTCATGAGGATGGGGAGAGGGGGGAGGAGTCGAGTCAAAACGTACGAGACCGCCCGCGGCGTAGACGCCCGCGTTGCGCGACCAGGCGCTGTTGAGCCACTCGGGCTTGCGGAACTTCCAGAGACGCTCTTCCTCCATTTCGGGTTGTTGGGCGACGGTCGGTTCGCTCGGTAGGTGGCGGATACAAGGCAGCGCTCTGCTATCAGGGAAGCCGGGTTTGCGTGATTTCGAGAGTCGGCGGTGATGTTGTGAGGTTGCTCGGTGATGGGTTCGTTGGAGGTGGCTGGATGACGACTGCCTGTCGTGGTGTTCCTTGGATGGCACAGCTGCTTGGCGGGTGCGGCTCGGGGACCCACTCTCGGAGTTCGGTGATAGATCACGTGAAGCTCTCCAACCTGGGGATGCCATGCTCACTTTATCCTCTCGGCCATGTCACATGTACGACACGGAATCACCAATGATAAAGACCATAAAACTTGGCTGTAATGTACAATACAATTACTCTGAGGCTCGGCTTCTGACTACTCAATTTGGGAGCCTCACTGCCGCCGGCGTGAGCCAGCGTGATGAGCAACTCTCCGTAGTCAGGAGACTGATATGCCGGGCACCGCAAGGCGGAGAAGCCTGCAGGCCAATGACGCTCGAATGTACGTGGAAAATGCCATACGAATAGGAAGCTCCCCGTTTCCTCGTCTCCCGTGCCCGCAAGTTAGAATAGTCCAATCCGCCAGTCCACCATTACTGCTAAGAAACTCTTTCCAGAGAGTCGACGGCCAGGGGACCGACGCGAGAAGTGATAAAAAGAGGAAGCGAAAGATAACCATTCGCCATGGGCCGAAAGGCCTTGAAAAGCGTTTGTAAGAGCGAGTCAACCCCTTGCCGGCATGCAATCATCATGTCGATTGACCAGACCCGTGGACGCCACCTAACTCCTGTGTTTTGCTGTATGTGAGAGCCGTCTCTTTCGCTGCTGAGAAAACAAAGTGACCCGGAATCCATATCGTCGTTCGTTTCATGTCTGGTGGCGGACCCATCTATATCTCAATCTCCTTCATCGGCTCATCGACCAGATCGGACTGTTTGCTGAGCTTAGACTTTGGCGCCATATTCTCCTTGCCGTCTTCTGGGGAATCGGCCCTGGCGAGGAGGGATGCGTGGGACCCGTTCTTTAGCGGTTGTTCTTCGCTTGGCCGCGGCGTCTCGACCTCGACGAGCTTGGGAGGCTTCAAGCCGTTCGTGTCAATCTCTGGCAGAGCAGATTCTTCCGCCACTCGTGCAAGGGGACTGGGCTTGCCCATGCCAGGGCGGATCGGGCTGGCGAGTGGGCTTCCGCCGTTGAGACGCTGCAGCGAACGGCCGCGGGGCTCGCCGTTGGCTGACTCGGGAGGGCTGGCGTACGGGGAGCTCGCGCCGGAGCCAGCGGGGGACGATGTCCTGTTGGGGGGTGCGGCTGATCGGCGCCGGGCGGCGCGGCGGCCGTACTTCTGGTCCATCCTCCAGCGAAGAATGCTGAAGTAAGGGGGCTCCACGCGGGGGTCCTTGAACTCGCGCAGCTTGAGCTCGCCGGAATCTTCATCGACGAACCACTTGCCGCTGCTGATATCGTCGGCGACCATGGCCATGAAGTGTGCCCAAGAGCGGGCCACAACGTACTTTGTGTCGTAGTCGCGGCCGAAGAGGATGATCTGACCCCACTTGCCACCAGGGCCAGGAGCCAGATCAACGGCCAGGTTATTGCCACCCCAATCGCGCACCAGGGGAATCCACGCGGGGTGTGCGTATGCCTTTTGGACCGAGTTGGGAGGGACCGATTCTTGGCGGTCCCTGAGATCCTGTCGCCATGCGGGGTTGTTCGCTCCAGCCGCGGGGGAAGGGGCCGCCTTGGAAGAAGATGCCTGGCTGCTGCTGCTGCCGCCGAGAGCCTTGGACGGAACGGCGGGCTTGACAACACTGGTATCGAGGAGATACTGCTGGTTCACCTTGCGCCACGTCTCCCACTCTTGCACCAACTCCTCGCAGTCGAGCAACATGGAGCCGAAGATGATGCCCGTGGGTGTTCCCCATCGTTCTTGACCATCGTGGATCATGAGGGATTCGCGCACATCCTGGGGCAGCGTGCAGTCGAGCATGTGCTCGAGCTCGTTGAGGTCGTTGTTCGTGGCGCCTTCGCACAGCTGGTCAAACAGTTCGGGGTAGTTGTCTTCAGCCCAGGCGTCGATTTTCCTCCAGGAGTGGGCTACAGGAGGGGCGGGCGGCATGCCATCCTGGAATGACTGCATGGGCACGTCGCCGGGATTGCTCTGCACGTCGAAGCCGTCGGCTGTGCTCTGCCGCGCGTTCTGGGAGCGAAGGCCCGGGGAGTAGGGCCCAGGACTCGAGGGCGTGTACGGGGAGCCCATGCCAGCGCCATGGTAGCTGGTGCTGCTGTTTTCCCTGGACAGGTTCGGGATGCCGTTTTCGTCCTGGTAGGGTGAAGAGATGTTGGTGTGTGATTCCGAGGCAGCCGTAGCCACCGATGTGAGCATGCTGTTTCGGCCGTTGGAGAGAGGGACGTGTCGGCCACTGCGGTAGGGAGAGTCGACGGAAGAATCTGGATTGCACTAGTCAGGAGGCGCGTCGGGTGTTCAAGGGATGCAATGTCACGAACGTCTGTCGTAGCTGGTCATGTCATGCCAGAAGGAGCGAAAAGCTTGACCAATGCTGATGAACAAGTCGTTAGCATGGATTGGCAATCAATCATGGAAAGCGTGCGATCGTGGTGGTCTGCTGAAGAGGGGGCGCAAGGGAGGCTTCGAAACGTACTTGAACGCCATGGTGGGCTATTAGAGGCAGGGAGCCGAAATGCACACAGCGTGCGATAAAAGTCGCGAGTGAGTTGGCCCTTTTGGGGAAAATAGAGAGAAAAGACAGGTTGCGACCCAGGCAAATGCTCTCCGGACGTTTTGTCGGTCGCCAAGTATGCGGTTGGGAGGGTCGTCAAGGTGGGCGTCTAAATGGTACAGGCAGTCGAGAAGAGCCAGCCCCTGAATTCGCGAGTTGCCGCTCCAAGGGAGTAGGCAGCACTTTCCGGCAAACGGTGTCGCAAAGGGGCGAGAAAAGAGTGACTGTTTGGTGAAGCGAGGCCTAGATACACTTGTCGATGTCGATTGTGCGAAAATTGACAAAGATGCAGCAGTCGGTTTCGATTTCGCACGTCAGAAATGCTGGCACAGCCGTGGTGTGTTGTGTTTGGCAACGCAGCAACTGGAGGCTGGGTGGTAAATAAAGTTGACGTCGCGGTTTGCGGGCGCTGGTGGCGGGTGGCAGGAGCAGCCAGTAGTGTTGAGTTTGGTCGTGCCTGCCAGGTTGTTTGGGGGCGTGTCAGGGTGGTTGGCCAAGGCACGAGGTAGGAGGAAAACTGGTTGGTGAAGGCAGTAGTAGCAAAGCTTCGGGTCCTTGCTCTTCGCTCTTCTTTTTCGCGGTAGAGGGCCCAACAGCTCGTGACCAAGACGGTTCGATCTGAGAATCCGGTTCTGAACCACCCTATGTACTGAAGGTCCAAACTCAATGCACCCAGGGCCTGGTGGTGTCCAGACTTGTCGGTCGTTGTCAGGCGGAAAGCGAATGTCGAGGGACCGAGTACCTTAGGAAAGTACCTTAGGAAATAGGCCGGCGTGGGGCAAGGGGGAGAGTTCGCCAAAGTGCGCAGTGCTGGACCGTCAAACAAACGAACGAATGATGGGCAGACGAACGAAACCGATGGGATGAAGCAGCCGAGTCGAGTGGAAAGAAAGAAGAGTGAGAGGAAAAAATGATGGTGGATGAAAAAGGAGACGATCCCAGGCACGACGTAAGGCACGGTTCTGACAGTGGCAGGCATTTTCAATTCACCTCAACCCCCCCAGAAATGTCCACTCTACTTGTTCTAACTCCTGTAAGCCATTCGCCGTAAGGGTGTAGGGGGGGCGCGGGTCCCCGTCATTCATCCTTCATCATTCGCCCTCCCACTCGGCCAGTGCCTGCTGGGTGTTGGTTAATTAGCAGACAAGGCCCCTGGGGCCGCCATGCTGGGATCTGCCCAAGGACCCAGAGGGACTGCAGAGGCAGAGGAAGAAAGAACGCCAAGGGGGGGGCAAATGGAACGGGGGAGAAAAGGGGGGCCCTTCAACGGGTCAGTCCAGGTATCTCGGCGCATACGTTGGCGGGCGGGTGACATGCCGCCATCTGATGTCCATCTAGGGTGCCCCACGGAAGCCGCCAGTCAGGAGTCTCCAGCCTATCTCGTGTCGCTCTTCAGGGGGTTGGGGTGCAATTGCAGAGGGATCGAAGTTGGGTGAGCGCACTCTTCCTTCGCCTTCCTCCCCCCCCCTTTCCCACTCACTCTACCTATCCACCCACCCCCTGCCGTTCTCCTGCATCGCAAATTATCTGCCGGCGCCCTAGAGCGATACTTGGGGCTCTGATGCAATTCGCTCAGCCGTCGAAGTCTTGAGCAATGCAGAAGCCGGGGGGAGGAGGGCTCACAGCTCACCAAGTACGAATAAGGCGAGCCTTGGCATGCCTTTCGTCTCGACTGAACTCCACGACGGTAGTCCATCGTTCACTGAAGGCCAGCTCGTGTTCCAGGCAACGAATCGCACCGTCTCTCCCCTCCGCGAGCGATCTAAGACAGTGCCATTTTGTACCCACCGAAGAGCAAAGCAGACAGACATGTTCGTGCAGGCCTCAGACAAGCCAGACTCGTCCGAAGCATTCTTCGCGTCAACCCCCGTCGGTCTTCGTCCCATCCGTGCCTTGTGACGAAATGCAGCGGCCTCGAGCCCGATGAGCCTCGCTTTGAAACAAGAAGGGTCCATCCCTCCTCCTCCTCGTCCGCCTCAAAGTGAGTCGAGTCAAGGCCAAGACAGTCAGCACAGGACGTGCGGTCGTGCACAGGGCGACAGACCAACGCCACACGCCGACCGATCCGATTCAGCGTCAACATGTCAGGAACAACAAAGAAGAGAAGAAAGTCGCCAACAGACGAGAGATGCCCCAGCGTCGTCCACCATATACTAGCAGCGGTCAATGTGCCCACGCCGAAGCTCTGTCGCCGTCTTTGCCCACTTGTCATCTGGTCGTGGCAGTTGGGCTGTACACGGTTTCCTTCCAACGGCCGCTTGCATACCAAGGTACATCGCATCGTTCGTCGCTTGTCGTTGCCTCGAAGCGCATTGGCTGGGGTGGGCCATTCGTCCCCCGATTCCACCTCAACGCCGTGAGCGAAACCGAATCTGTCCAGACACGCTTTTCTGGTGAGGCATCCTTCAGAGGCTTACACACCCCCCTGCGTACTTTTTTTGCCCAAGAGCTAGAGCCAAGAGAGATGAACCCCCCTTCGCTCTGCCTCCCGCCCTCGCTTTCGGGGGGACGACGAAGGCGCGCACCCCTTGCGCGGAGGTCGCATCCTTAGGCGCATGGCATTGTGAATTAAAGATAGCACCTCGGGATCATTCTGCTTCTCCTTGCGTGCCAGTCAGGTGTACCCACATCGAATTAACGTATGTGATCACCAGAACACAACAACACAGACACACCCATGGGTCCCTCCCCCCCGCGTAATCGGCGGCTGCGCACGATGATTGTCTCCGGAGTCTGCTCATTCTGCTAGGATTCCATCATCTACGTCTGTGGCCTGACGTCTCGTCACCGAAGAGCCCCCACCCCCTCGGTGGCCTTGGCACGCCGTTGTCCGATCGCTTCCCCAACCCTGTCACCATTGACCCCGCATGGAATACGGGGAGGCGAATGGCTGTCGTCTCTCCACTGTCGTGTGCTGACGCGCTGGCCCATCATGGAGGCCGCCTGTGAGGTCTACCAAATCTTTTGTTGAACATTTGATGTGTCGGACATGGGCGATTGGCTTTCAATCGTCTGCGCTGTATCTACCGTGGCGCCGTCCGCGTGGCTGCCGCCTTGTGGCGGGGATCTGCGTCCCAACCACCAACGTGGCCCTACCAGCCAATGAATCCCCTCTGCCTCCAGCTTGTGTGCACCTGGAGACGGCAGCACGTTGCCTGGTCGGCGTGGCTGCACGACACCGAAGCGTAACGATCCTGGAGCGTCGTGCGCGCCATGACCGAATGTTTGTTGCCCTGCGGCCGGCTCTCTGAGGTCACCCTGCGTTACGGTGTAGACGCTCTCCGGCAATGTCCACATTCCTAACTGGAATTGACACTGGACTAATGGCTGTGGCCGACTATATGCAGTCAAGACGAAGTCTTCATCAGGCCTTCTAGGCAGCTTCAAGGTCACAGCGGCCAACCTGATCTGGCTGCCGCGTAGTCGCTCTCCGACTTCCCGGCGGCAACGTCTACCTGATGCGCTGCCTTGAAGATGGCCGGATATCTCCTCTCCATGACATCTCTCGGAAGGAGGTGCAGCACCTCGTTCCTCAACCTCTTCTTGTCGAACGGCAGATTCTCCAGCTTGATTGCCTCGAGCACGTAGCCAACCACCGTGTTGGTCTGCAGCGGCGGCACACGCAGGATGCCGGCAACCTCCTCCGGCCCGATGCCCTCGTTGTCGTGCCACAGATAGTACGACCGCAGCGACGTGGGCGTCGTGCGCATGCTCGTTCTTGACGCGCGGTAAGTGGCGACACGGGACTCTGCAGCGAGCACTCTGGCGTCCATGGTGCGCGCCGGGTTCGACGTCCCCCATGGCGAGCGCGAGAGTGGGGGTGCGGAAGCGGATGCCCATGTCGATTGGGTGGTGGCCTGCTGCGAGGTGTCTGTCGCTGCCGGTTGTCGTGTTACACCACCGCCGCCCGCTGATGCTGCTGCTGCTGCTGCTGCTGCGGTCATCGAGCCACTGGCTGTGGCGGTGGCCTGGACTGGGGTGGTGAGTTCAGCGAGCTCTTCTGGTGACGGTATTGTCACTCCGGGCGCCAGGCGGATCGGCAGGTTGTGTTCGACGTGATATGGCAGCGGAGGCCTGGGTGACAGCGCCATCCGCTGCTCGTCAAGCACATGATAGAGCTGCAGACCAGCATACGCGTCACCTGCAGAATCTGCAAAAGGTGGTCAGCTTACGTCCGTGAACACAGAAAGATCGATTCCATGAAACACTGACAGGTGATTTGCTGCATGTTGAGGGCCTGCGACCAGTCACTCGACCGGACATCAGGCCCTTTGAACATGGGCAGCCCGAGACAGTCCTGGACCTGTGTCGCCAGCGACACGAGCCTCTTGTTGACCAGATCCACGCGGCCGGAAGCCGAGTGCTTGACGAGTTTGTACAGATTACTCAACTCGAAGGTGCCCCTCGTGCCAACGTCAAACCAGTTGCGCAGGCGCGTGCAGTCGCCCTTGATGTTGACGCCGGCCTTGGTCACGTCTGGGTCCTCCATGATCCGCCTGAACGTCGGCGCCATCAAGTCGTCGTCAGCTCCGGGAAAGAGCGCCACGTGGAAGAGGGCGATGCGGCTCGGGCTCGCCAGCTGGATCAACGACACGTTCCGTCTCGGGCCCGAGGACTTGCTTGCGCTGGGCTGCCACTCGAGGTCAAAGCCCAGGACCTTCTCGTCGAGAAAATACTGGCACACGTGCTCCATTTTGTGCTTGCTCCTGCAGTAGTGCACCTTGACATTCTGCTCCAGGCCGTCCACATCACGGCCGCGGTAGAAGGTGTGAGACCAGTAGGAATCGGCCGTGCCCGCTGGAGCCTGCTGCGCTTTGGCGAATGCCGCTGCGCTGATCTTGAAGGCAAGGCTCGTGACTGGAGGTCCTCTCGGTGAGATGGTGGTATCCACGGAGACAGCCGCGCCGAGACCTTCCTCCTTGATGAGCTCCTCCCTGAGGTTGCGTTGTCCGGCAATGGGCCCCACCACTGTGTAGCCTTCATCGTACTCAACCGCCGTCGTAAAAGACTCGTTGCCTGAATCGGAGCAGTCTGCCTCATCGTCCAATGCCTGCTCGACTATCGCGTCTTTGGGGTGCTGCGTCCATGCGGCAGCGCCCTGACTCTCCGTGGTGGTGTAGGTTCGGGAATGCACGGATTCTTGTTGTCGAGTAGGACTGAACACAATGCCACGGCCACGGTGCCAGACTCGTTCAAACGGGTAGGACGTCATATTCGGAAATCTCAATCTGCCATAGACACCCCTGTCAGCGAAGCTCTGCAGAGGTCGGTTGAACCCAGGAACTGACCTATGACGATATGCTATGTTGGAATGATGTCGCAAGACGATGGCAGCACCGCCAGTTTTGTACGGGAACCTCATGGACACATGGGTGCGAGAGGTTCGAGCCAGCATGAGACCGCCATGGTGAACCACTGGCATGGCGCGGCGATCCAAGAAACAGGCAGACGTCTGATCCCGGCCGTGAATCGTTGTGGCTGTGCTGTCTTCAGGGGATTCACGCTGCCGCTGGAGGGGTTCCCGTCACCGTCGCCGTTGGACCTGGAGAGCTCGGGCGGCTAAAAGTGGAGTCGACGCCGCTGAGTCATGCACGCGACATCACATGATGTGGTGGTGCTGGCTGGGTCTCACACCCGCCGCTCGCTGCCTCATGATGAACTGTGATGGGCAATCGAGATATCGATCTAATTCAGGAGTCTCGATTTGGCACGATTCGGCACGATTCGGCACGCAAGAGAACAGTCGCTTGACACCAACGGCCCTAAAGAACACCACTGTACAGGATTCAAGTTGGGAACTACTCCCCTGACACTGCCGTATCGAAGAAAATCGGCGACGCTCTCACCATGGCATCCCAACTACTTCCCCTAGGTGAGGCATGAAGCAATCACACTCAGAATTGAGCACTGACGTGGTGTAGAACTGATCGACAAGTGCGTCGGCTCGAGGATATGGGTCATCATGAAGGGCGACAAGGGTACGGGACCGTATGCAGTCCCTCGTTAGACATTCGTACTGACGCCCTGCCAGAGTTCAGCGGCACCCTCACCGGTTTCGATGACTATGTCAGTAAGTAACAAGTCATCATGTCCCTCTTTGAGAGCCCTGGCTGACAATCTGGTAGACATGGTGCTTGAGGATGTCACAGAATTGTAAGGCGCACAGCCAATCGCATAATGAGCATGGTACTGACCTCCGCAAGCGACTACTCCGGACAGCACGTCAAGCTGCCCAAAATTCTGTTGAACGGCAACAATATCTGCATGGTACGTCGCGTGAGACAGCCCCGATATTGATTCCACACTGACGGTCTTCTCAGTTGATTCCTGGAGGAGAGGGTCCCGTCTGAGGGAGGCTTGGGAAGATGCATGAAAAATAAGAGCACTGGTGTCGATGTGATGAGCAAACACAATCAGTCCAACAAAGGCTACAAAAGCTACAGAGCCAGATCGAGGGCCTTATCGGATGAGTAGAAAGCACAACGGCACATCAAATCAAATCAATAAAAAGACATGACCAACCCAGGAGCTTTTATTGCACATGCCTCTCTCTGTCCATCCATGCTATCGGCGACAGCCCAAATCGGCGCATCCATCATAACACACAAAAGCCATGGCACCGAGTCACGGCAAGAACCAAACGTCGTCCTCGGCGATGCATAGACCCTTCAACGCCCATAACGCCCCCCCTGTGTGAATTTCGGCAGCCCACGGCGCCAGCTACTGTCCGTTCGTCTGATCGTGCTGGCGCGCCTCGACGACGCGGCGCAGCTCGTACTCGCGGATGAACTCCTGCGCGAGGTGTGAGAAGTCCTTCATGAGGTCCTTGATGACCTCCGTCACGGCGTCTTTCGGGGTGATCGTGCCGTCCGTCTGGACGCGGATGAACATCTCGGACACGTTGGGGTGGGGGACTGCAGAGGGCGTCAGCGGTGGGCGCGACATGGCGTGCTGGCGGCGGCCGTACTCTTGTAGCCGGCCATCAGGACGTGCTGGTGCATCTTGAGGTGCTCGGAGATGAGGTTGCCGACGGTGTGGTCCTCCTTCTTGATGACAAAGTCGGACGTGTTGGACATGCCTGGGACGTGTCAGTCTTTGCATGGTCCCCGTCACATGGCTCGGGCCGTGGTCTCACCCGCGTACGGCTTCTCCTCGATCTTCTTCTCATCGTCGGAGAGAAGAAAGAGCTCGAATCTGGTGAAAGTGTTAGTACTTGTTCACGAGCGAGGCCCGAGCTCGAACGCCGGGAACTGTGCAGCAGCCCTGAGGCCCATTTGGTAGAAACACAAAACTGCTGATGGGGCTAGAGTGTCTTCGTGCACACGCAGGCTGCACACACATGGCTGGTCGCCATCATGCCAATGTGGTTGGCACATGTTGTACCATGAGATCGCCAGCTCAAAGTTCGGGACGTCCAAGCACCGGGCATGATGATCAGGGCCGCACTGACCTGTCGGGGGCATTCATTGTGAGATATGTATGAGTAGATGATCTGGGAGTCGAGGTTGGGTCTCTGAGGAGAAGGATGCTTCAGAGGTCGAATCGCAAAGTGAACAAGCGGCGATGGAACGCTAAAGCAGAAGCGATAATCCCTATTGCTGATTGGGAACTTGTAAATGAGAGGAAACCGTTGTGAGGAATTGGGTGTCAAGGCCGTTCGTTGATGCCGTTGGTTGGGTGTCGTCGTCAAATCTCAGAGCTCTCATCAATGGATCGTGAAAGAGCGTCCTTCACAGCCAATAGGTGAGGGAGGCGCTGAGAAGCTTGTCGCGTCGTCGCCTGGGGCGCTCGGATCACCAGCCACGTTGGCTTGGATCCAATGCAAAACGTGGCGTACCGTGTGGCCCTGTCGCCCAACATACTGTGCATACATCGGATCACAGGGAGATGCTCATACACAACCACAAACAGCAAGAACCATGAAGGGTTTACAGAAATGTTTGATATTCGACGATCGCTATGAAAGTATCCAAATGCATCCATAAGGCGATCTAATGCCTTGAAAGAAATCCAGTCTGATCTCCCAACATATGCAACCCCCGACTCCTCGTAATGAGACCTAAGAGACTCCCATACTTACATATTGATATTCAGATAATTGATTGCAAAGTTCCCAGTGCAATGACACGCCGATGGATAGATTTAGTTGCCCTTGGAGTCACAGTAGCCCGGCAGAGGAGGTCCGGAGGGCCCGGCAGCCCAGTTCATGACGGTCAGAACAGTAGTGTAGGACATGGCCACGAAACCAAAGACGCAAAGAATAGCGTCGGCGATTTTCCAGTACCTGTTGCGCGCGACAGCCTTGTAGTGGAGGAGGGGCTAAAGAAGTATCAGTAAAAAAGTACACATGAAGCGGACACGAGGCACTCACAGGATAGATGAAGACCAGCGGGATGCATGCAAAATTGCCGACGAGGGCGACAAACTTGTCGAGATTGGCGGCACCACCCCAGGCAATGGCAGAGCACATGCAGACAAAGAAGAAGCGGTAGCAGTTCTTCTGCCACTTGATGTAGGGGTTGTACTTGCCGCTCTTGGTAAAGAGGCCGTTCTCGGTAATCTTGATGGCGGGGAAGATCTGCAGCGGCGTCGACAGCATGATGGCGACCGAGTACAGGAACTGAACGCCGTTGACGAGCTTGCTGTCCTGTGGAAGGTTGAGCAGAACAACAGTCTCCGTCTTGGAGCCGTAGGCGGCGTAGGAGAAGGCGCCCATGACGATGAAGACGGTGGTGATGATGATCATGACGATGAACAGGACGCGGGGGAACTTGGTCGGGTGCTTCATGGACTCCTGGATCGGAATGATCAAGCCAATGCCTTCAAATGTGAAGATGGCGGTGCCGATGAAGAGGGTCCAGTTGTCTTGGTTGAACATGATGATGTCCGCCAGGCCGTTGGTGGCCAGGGTGAGGACATCATAGTAGAAAAGGTAGGCAAGGCCGATGAGGATGAAGGCATCAGCAACGAGAGCCGTGACACCGAGCTTCTCAATGTCGCGCATCAGCGAGAAGGGCAGGAACACTGCCAGTTGCATCAGAATGAACCACTTGATGTCCATGTACGTCTTGCAATCGGTGACAGCCAGCACAAACGCCTGAAGGTTCTCCGAGGTGAACACCATGTACGCCGCGATGAAACCAATCTGGCTCAGCACGATGGAACTCAGGATCATGCCCCGCATCCACTTGCCGTAGAGGATACCACCAATGTCTCCAAAGGAACCTTCGACCTTGAGACGGGTCGTGACGAGGAGGACGAAGCAGTAGTAACTCAGGGCCGCAACGAACAGCAAGATGAGGTTACTGAACAGCATGCCACCGCTGAGGTAGGCACGCGGTAGGAAGAGGACACCCGTGCCGACAAAAGACTTCAACAGAAGCATGGCAGCACCCATGGGGCTGTTGGTGCCACTGCCGCCACGAGGCTTTCTCCTCCTCTTGCGGCGCGAGGGTGTTAAAAGAGCGCTGTCCTCCATCGGTTCCCTGTCCTCGTCGCTGCCCTCGTCACTGTAGTAGGAGTCGTCGTCGGGGCCAGACGAGAAGTACTCGCCTGGCTGCAGAGCCTCGTCGTCCTCCTCGAGCTCCTCACCGGCAAAGTGGCCGTACATGCTTAGGAACTCGAGGAAGCTGGAGGTCAACATGCGCGGCTGGGCAGCATTGGTGCCCTCGCCGGCCTCGAGACGGCCTCGATCTGCCGAAGGGCTTCGCGCCGACCTCCTCAGGTAGTTGCGGCGGAAACCACCAGGAACCTTGATGGCGTTGATATCGAGCACCTCGTTCTCAGGGTTCGGCCGCGAGACGCTGAAGCTCTTGCTGCGCTGCATCTTGTTCCTCGCCTCGGCCTCCTCAGACCATTTGTAAATGCCTCTTGTGACGTCGCCGCCCTGCAGACGGAGACTGGAAAATTCCTCGTCGTCCAGACCAGCTCCCGCGGGGTCGGCAGACTGCTTTCCCTTGACACCATCTCGCAGGCTCGATTCCTCGGAGCCGGCATCCGTGGGTTGGACCAGATGCCTCTTGACAATCTCGGGGTCCTCGTAGGCGCCGGTGGCGGGGTTGCGTTTGCTCGAGTCGAACGAACCGTAGTTGGTCTGGGGTGTGCTGCCGAGCAAGGCACCGGCAGTGGCGGGAGACAGAGGCCTCGGGGGCGGGCTGGAGGTGCGGACGGCGGGCGTGCCGTGCCTGGGAGGGGAGACTCCGATTGAGTTTGACAGTGCGGCAGCGAGGGCAGACACGCCGGGGCCCTGGACGCTGGAGGCGACGCCGCCGGGCAAGGGAGCCTGGCTGTTCACGTCGCCCGAGATGCTGGCTCTCGAGGAGAATCCATTGATGGGCTGTCCCTGGGGGGTGCCGAACTGCTGTGAGGGCACGGGCGATGCGAGCCTGGCTGTCGCGTCGGCACGAGGCACCGAGGTTCCAAACTGGCGGGCGGCGAAGGAGGAGGGCGAGCCGGCACGAGGAATGTTCAAAGGATCTCTGAAGGGGGAGGCCATGATCGTTACGTTGCAAGGCTGTTCGACAGCTGGCTCATGCTGCGCTGACGATCGTTATCGGGTGGCCCGAAGGTAGAGGACGAGGGCGGGCGTCGGTCGAGTGAAGGATTCCTGCGGCGCGCACACACAAGTTATTAGCGCCGAATCATTGGGCGGGCACGCAGGGACGAAGGAAAGACTCGGACGGCGGCATCTTATGAGGCCATGGAGCTGCCGTGCGAGGTTGCTTACCTGTCGGTGGCCTCGGCACAGCTGACAAGCTCAATTGGTGGTGGAGGGAGTACGAGAGCGGGAAGAGATGCTCGTGGTGTTGCAGAGATCCCGTGATAAGCCTACGGTGCCCGTTACTACTCGCCGTTGTTATCAGCGGGTCACGTCTGGTGACGGATGACTGGCTCGCCAAGGGCTTGAGCCGCTCTTCCAGCGGGCGTGGGGTCTGACCAGCCACACACTCACGGGATCAGGCAGATGGCAGGGCGGCATGCCCCAGTGCATCCAGTGCGTCCCAGTGCATGGGGCCCTGAATCAAGGGACCTGCGCGACGACGTCAGACTGCGCTTGGCTTTGGTGTCTCGTCTGCGTCTGCGTCTGCGTCTGCTGGTGTGCTCGTTGTTGGATGATATACAGAGATGATCGAGTCTCGGTGGTTTCTAGAATCCAGAGTCAAACCGAAGTACTACTGAAGACGAAGACCTCATAACAAGACCAGGCACCTGCCTTCTGTGAAGAGACAGGTGCCTACAATCTGGGCAGGCACAGGTAGGTAGACACTGCCCAGCGGTACAGGTACAGCGAGCTTGCACAGCGGCTTGGGAGTTCGTGTGGGGGTTCAGTAGCGCCCGATGCGCCAAAACATCCCGGAGCTCGGGGGGACATTCCTTCCTCATGAAGTCGCTGGCACATGGCAAGACCTATGACTCCAGCGTGCCTCCCCAGCATCGATGCGTCGAGAGGAGCTCCGGTTGCTTCATGTCTGTCTGCCTGCCGCTGGGAGTGCGAATACCTAAATACTTTACCTAGACATACTTCCCACCTCATCCAACGCCTCGCCTGGACGGGCAGCGATCCGAGAACATCTGCGTCCCTCTCCGCCTGGCGGTCAACACATCCAGTCACAGTTTCACGCAGATCCTCGGCTGACGTTGATTTCCCCAGGCCAGCGACACCCCCACCCAATGAGCGCCAACAGACCCCTCCTGTGCGCATTCCCAGATGCTGCAGTAATGCTCCCCTAGGCGCACTTCCTGCAGCTCTGCACCACGATGTGCTTGGCTCGCCCAATCCAGCGACTTTGCCTTGGATCGGCCGGCATCTCATACGAGGCGAGGGGCAGCAGATGCCATCCGGATTAACGTCCCGGGCTGTGTTGAAGGTCAAGTTCAAGTGAACCTCTGCTCCTCGTCGTCTACCCTACGAAACACGTCGATTCTCCTTCTTCGAGTCTCCTTCTTCAACTCGTCGTTCCCTTCTGTCCGTGCTCTGGCTCAGTCAATCCCGCACCCTGGCCAACGCAAGCTGAGCTGTCTCATGCCGATCAAGGAAAAGGTGGCGCATCCCTCCTCATAGTAGGCACATTCTCCAAGGCGCCATCTTCATGACCCCTCCCGGTATTGCTGGCTCGATTCCCCAGGTTTCCGCGGAGCTAGAACAGGACGAAGCGATTCACGCGCACACAACCATAGCGCCTCGCCTCTGCTGAACAGCACCGATGCCATCATGTCCGCCGACGACAAACGGCCCAGCCTCTCCGGCTCGGACGTATCGAAGAAAGCCACGAAGCTTGGTGTCGTTTCGGGTGTCTATATTCCCGTCTACCTCAACATCCTGAGCATTCTCATGTTCCTGCGATTTGGCCTCATCCTTGGGCAGGTTGGCCTCTTGGGCATACTCGGTTTGGCGCCACCATTTTTCGTCGTGTTCGCGTGCGGGGCGAGTAGACTAACACGCAGCTCCCAGGTCTGCTCATCACAGCGTACCTCGTCGACTTCTTGACCACGCTGTCTCTATCTGCCATCGCGTCCAATGGCGAGGTCAAGGGCGGCGGTGCCTACTACCTCATCTCGCGCTCTTTGGGGCCCGAATTCGGCGGCTCGATTGGAGTCTTGTTCTATCTCGCCCAGGTGCTCAACACGGCCCTCAATGTTGTGGGCCTTATCGACTGCGTCAGGATGAACCTGGGGCCGGCCTTCCCTCAGGGCTACTGGACAATCTACGGCTTCGAAACCGCTGCTTTGCTTGTCTGCACCGCTCTCGGCTTGGCCGGGAGCAGCATCTTTGCCAAGGCGAGCAATGGCCTCCTCGTCATCTTAACATTGGCCATCCTGAGCATACCTGTTTCGGCCATCTTCAAGACTCCTTTCCGAGATGACGACCTGGGTATCGAGTTTACGGGCGCCAGCCTACAGACGCTGATAGACAACTTTGTCCCCCACACCCAAGGCGCTGCGTACAAGGGGTTCGAAACATTCCGCGAGCTCTTTGGCATCCTTTTCCCGGCCACATCCGGCATCTTTGCGGGTGCGTCCATGTCTGGTGACTTGCGCAATCCAAGCAAGGCCATCCCCAAAGGCACGCTTTGGGCCATGCTCACCACATTCATCGCCTACTTGGTGGTCATCTTCTCCCTCGCTGCGAGCACGACGCATGCATCGTTCCTTCGCAACACCAATGTCATCTCTCTGACGAATCTCTCTGCCCCTCTGATCCTCGCAGGAGAGTGTGCCGTCACATTCTTCTCCGCCGTCATGGGCCTCATTGGGGCGGCCAAGCTGATGCAGGCCCTCGCCAGAGACCAACTCTTACCCGGCCTCACCGTGTTCGGCAAGGGGACAAAAAAGGCGGATGAGCCTGTCGTGGCCATCATGTTGACATATGCTATTGCCCAAATAGCCATGCTTGCCAACTTGAACCAGATCGCCACCTTGATCTCCATGGGATACCAGGTATGTGTTTTTCTTTCTGTTGCCTAGCCGCATAACACGCATCGCTAAATGGCACCAGATGACCTTCTTCGTGATGAACCTCGCCTGCTTTCTACTCAAGATTGGGTCGGCACCCAACTTCAGGCCAGCTTTCAAATTCTTCAGCTGGCAGACGGCATTCGCTGGCAGCATCTTGTCGGCCGCGGCCATGTTCTTCATTGACGACTCATACGCAGCATCTGCCGTCTGTCTGCTCGTGTTCTTGTTCTCGTTGATTCACTATCTCAGCCCGCCGAAGAGCTGGGGTGACGTCTCGCAAAACCTCATCTATCATCAGGTGCGCAAGTATCTGCTTCGACTGCGGCCAGAGCACATCAAGTTCTGGCGGCCCCAGATCATTCTCCTCATCAACAACCCAAGATCCCAGACTCGACTGATTCAGTTTTGCAACTCCATGAAGAAGGGGTCACTCTACATCCTAGGCCACGTCATTGTCACCGATGACTTCAACACTGGGGTGCACGAAGCCAGACTGCAGCAAGCTGCGTGGACAAACTACATTTCGGAAAAGTCGAGGATCAAGGCTTTTGTCCAGTTGACCATGTCGCCTTCGATCAACTGGGGCATCCGAAACTTGATCTTGTCGGCAGGGCTTGGTGGCATGAGGCCGAACATTGCCGTCATGGGCTTCTACAACATGGATGAGCTTCGCAACTCCCGTCCTGCTGTCAAGGTGCCCGAGGTGCCAGCATCTCCCACAAAGACGCAGAAATCCCCCTTGAAATCGAGCAAGGGGCCGCGTAGACGTCGTGGAGATACTTCTGCGCGCCTACTCGAGGGCTTCTTACCTACCGACGTCATTCGAACGGAGAGCATGATGAGTGTGACGAGTTACATGACCATGTTGGAAGACCTCGCCCTACGGTACAAGCTGAATGTCGCTGTGGGCAAGGGCTTCCAAGCTCTCGAGACGCCCCGAAAGGACAAGGCGAACACGAAAAAGTACATTGATCTCTGGCCAATACAAATGTCTGCCGAGCTCCTGTCCGACGGCAAGAGCGTACTGACAACCAATTTTGATACATGTGCGTGTCTGGCCTGGTCTTGGGTCATAGCCTTGCTGACTACTTCCAGACACCTTGATTTTGCAATTGGGCTACATACTGGAGAGTGTGCCGGCCTGGAAGAGCGCATATGACCTACGTATCATGGTATTTGTTGAGTATGAAAGTGAGCTGGCAGAAGAACGGGCCAGGGTGCAGGCACTTCTTGATAAGCTCAGGATCGAAGCCGAGGTCCTCGTTTTCTGGCTAGCTTCGGGCGAGTTGAAGACCTACGAGCTCATCATTAATGGGCGCTCAGATGACGTCGACACGGACATCGTCGTCAATGACGTTCTCTCGAACGAGGAGTGGTGGGACGATCTTCAAAAGTTCAGGGGTCGCGCCTCCAACATGAGCTCCAGTCAAGAGCTGAAGTCACTGGCAAGTATCGTCGAATCAACTGCAGGCCGACCAGGGGTTTTCAATCCGCATGTGCCGCTGGACGAGACTGGCGGCAAGCGACGCACGAGCATGGTCCATCTGGGGGATATCCCACGCAAGACGCAGGCATCCAGACTTGGCCGGCTCGGCGTGAGCATGGGAATTCACACTTCACATCTTGGGGACGAAGTTTTTGGAGAGGATGACGATGTCCTTGACGAAGAAGACATGGGCGGAGGAGAGAATGCGGTCGACAGCTTCGACTCCGACTCGGATTACCACCATGTCGACGAACCAGCCACCGAAGACGAGGATGGCGTCGTAGACAACAGCGAGCTCGCTAGACGCCCTCTTCTTTCTATCAAGGGTGGTGGCAGAAGTCAGAGCGACGACCTACTCACTAAAATGCCGTCCGCGAGGAAGCACGCAAAGACGCGCGGCGTAGGAAGAGGGTCGGCATACGGCACCATGTCCACCGAAACAACGGCGAATACACTATACAACAAGGGAGCATCTCAGGTCGAGATCGATGACCGCCAACCAGACTCGTCCGTGTTATACACGTCCGAACACTCGAGGCTGCCACGAAACCTGTCAAGCAAATCGCTACAACCGCCCACGCCTGGCGATGCCTTCCCATCGCTCCCGAATGACACGTCACAGGACGCTTCTGGCGTGCCTACCCCCATGCGACCACAATTCTCCCGCCAGTCGTCAGCCGCACGCTTCTCCAGCCGGCCAGTGCCAGAGACCAAGGTTGCAGTCGAAGGCAATTCGGGCCCGACCATAATGTTCGCCGAGCCCACCGCGGGACCCTCCCGGCCAACCTTTTCGCGGCAGTCCTCCATGGGCAGGTTCCCGACCCAGCCCAGCGGCGACACCAAGAACACCACCGGCACCTTCACTCCGGGCATCACGTTTGCCGAGCCGGTATACCACTCCCGGCGAGCGTCGCTTGTTTCGACTGGTGATCCCGGTGACGTCCAACTGAACATGGCCGAGATTATCGAGCGCTACCGCCTCGAGGCTGGCCCTCACGACTCGGACGAGAGCGGCGGTGCCACCTATTCGACGCAAGGCGTGGCGCTTTCATTCAACGACCTGCCTAGTCGCGCGCAGCACCTCATTCTCAACGAACTCATGCGCCAGTACAGTGGCGACACAGCCGTGCTGTTCACCACGCTGCCGATTCCCGCCGATGGCACGTGCCGTGACGAGGCAGCGAGCGTTCAGTACCTGTCGGATGTTGAGGTTCTGTGCCATGAATTGCCACCCGTTCTGCTCGTGCTGAGCAACAACATGACGGTGACGGTGGGTTTGTAGGGGAGGGTCATTTGCGATTTCACTGGCATAGCATAGAATGGGCATGTAGCACATGGCATTTTGAATTTCTGTTATGGGCGATTTAACACGCTTCCTCGCGTGAGTCTTGGCCGTGGCAAAGGCGGTTGATTGCGCCATCTTTGATGTGTGCTGCCGTGGCTCTCTTTGAGGAGAAGGGGGCGCCCCTTTGTCTCGCGGATCATGACACCACGCCGCAACCTTTGCTCTCAATGAATGGCTGACCCCCTCCTCAGGGCATGTCCCAGCAAACTGTCCTCGGTCAGCAGATGTCGTCTCAAAGCCCGGCATGGCTCACATTCCGTGCGGTTTCCAAGAAGCCCGCCCGAGGCCAAAGAAAACAGCATGCTCTCTCTTAAAGGCGCCGGCGCGCCCTCCCGCCTTCCGCCTGGCCGCCTCTGCATCCCATTTTCTGTGCAACTTGTTGTATTCTGCCGGCCAAAATCAAGACCAAAAGCATGGAGAGACAGCCTCGGAACACAGGATGGTCGCGCTTGCGGCGCATGAATCTCAACCGCCTCCTGCTCCCGTCGAGGCCCGCCCAGGGCGATGCGCCATTCAAGCCCGTCCACACGCCCGATCGACCGGAGGCTCCCACGCCGGTGACGGCCGCGCCGTCGGACGAAGAGTGCATGCGGTTCCTTGAGGCGTTCCGCTCACCCAAGAGTTACGGGTTCTCGTGGGATGATGACGACAACCACCAGCCCGCAGCGTGGCCGCTCTCGCAGCCGCTGGAGACGAACGAGGAGACGAACGAGGAGACGGAGGACACGTTTTCGACGATGAGGGACGCCAGTGTTCCCGTGATACGACAAGCGAGCGTCGCAGTGGCCGTGGCCGTGGAGCGGTCTGCGGGGTCAAAGGTTGTGAGCGCGGTTGATCACGCTGAGGACGACCGGAAGGCCAGACGGGCGCAGCGTGCGGTGGGCGTCACGGCGCTGCACGAGGTGCAGACGCGGTCGAAGATGCTGGCTTCGCACCGCATGGCGGCGCGGTGTACGTGGCGGAGCTCCGATTCGGGGTACGGCGCGTCGAGGAGGTCGGACGCTTCGCTTGTCGCTGGGACAGAGAAGGGACGGTGTCCATCGACAGAGGACAGTGCCGAGGAGGATTCTGGAGCTAGGGCTGTCTCGGGGCATGCTTCGCGGCGGATGACCCGAATATTGTCAGTCGAGAACGCAAACGACGACGGCGCCCCGGCGATGGATGGTATACGATACGCCCGGCGCTCGCATGTCGTTCACGAGCTCAAGGCCCCGGATACCCTGAAGCGAGCTGTTCAAGGAAGCCTCCTGGACGAGCGGACTGTCTCGAAGTTCCAAAATTGGCCAATCGTGGAGAAGCGGCGGACTGTCGCTGGGCGAGGCATTGATTTGTACGCAGACTGGGCTGAGTATTACTTTGAGACGGGGAACTTTGAGGGTCCAGGTTCGGAGCGGAGAAGCCTGGGGGGCACAGTCAAGACAACAGGCGGCGAGACCGTGGAGAAGAGGGAGACCGCGGAGAAGAGGGAGACGGTCTGGGAAGACTTTGTACCGGAAAGTCCTTTGGCGGATGAGTTTGTTCTCGATCGGCGGGGGAGTACTGATGCTCTGTCGTCCAGAGGCAGTGTTCGTATTGGGTCTTTCTTCTCGGATGATAGTGATTCTGATTGATGTGGATCATTAGATCCTAGTACGCCAGATAATAAACCCAATTATCTGTAAATTGTCATGAAATAATAGAAGGAGACGAGACAATAAGGGTTGTGGTGTGGGACTGGCTGTATACAGACTGGTTGAGGGCAACTGACGTGATGAATTGGAAACACTGGACGATGAAATATGACATGTTTAACAAATGACAGAATTCAACAATTCAAATCTCACACTCCGAAGAGCAATTGAGTCTCCTTGCAAAAGCCTGCGTGCAAGTCATGCTTCACGGCACCAGTCCACGCATGGTCGCGGCCCAAGCTCCTCACAGATGAACTCCTCACTATGAAGCAATTCTCACCAGTTCATCTCACCTTTGTCCATCCCTCACCAAGCACCACCATCGCCGCCACGACTCATGCCGCGCCTACCACCCTCCCTCCTTCGAAAAGCATATCGGACATCCCCCCACATCCGCACCCTCCTCCCCGCCACCCGCGACATCGCCTCCGCCGCCCACGAGCTCCGCTGGATCAGGGACCACGTCCGCGACCACCCCACGCCGTCCCAGCGCCTGGCGCGCCTCTGCCGCCGCCGGGGCCGCGGCGAACCCCTGCAGTACGTCCTCGGCACGCAGCCCTTTGGCCGCCTCGACATCCAATGCCGCCGGGGCGTGCTCGTGCCGCGGCCCGAGACGGAGGCCTTGGCCCTGCACCTCGAAGGTCTCCTCCGGCGCGGCGCCCTGCCGGCGTCTCGGCGCGGCGAGCTGGCCATCGTCGACTTTTGCACGGGCACAGGCTGCATAGCGCTGTCGCTGTTCGCGGGCCTGCAGGGGGCCGTGCCGCGGCTGCTCGTGCGGGGCGTCGACGTGTCGCCGGCGGCCGTGGGACTCGCGCGGGCGAACCTGCGGCGCAACGTCGGCGAGGGCCGGCTGCGGGCCGCGACGGCAGAGCAGAGGGTCGACTTTGTCCTCGGCGACGTGTTTGACGACGCGGCGGTCGAGGCGCTCGCGCGCGCGCGCGCGGCCGGCCCCTGGGACGTCCTCGTGTCGAACCCGCCGTACGTCTCGCGCGACGTGTGGGCGGCCGGCCGTGGACAGATGGGCTACTCGGTCCGGAAGTACGAGCCGAGGCTGGCGCTGGTGCCGGGGGACGACGTGCCTGCGTACGCGGGGTGCGCGCACGAGGATGTGTTTTACGCGCGGCTGCTCGACGTTGCCGTGACGCTGGGCGTCCGCGTCGTCGTCTTTGAGCTCGGCGACGAGGGACAGGCGGCGCGGGTGCTGCGGTTGGTGAGGCGGAGAGAGGCGCTTCGGGGGGCTGCGTGCGAGGTCTGGAGGGACTGGCCCGACGTGGAACCGCAGGAGGACGAGGCCAGGGTGATGAGTGTCGGGGAGGATGGCGATGACGAGATTCAAGTGGTTATCAGAGGCAGTGGGAATGTGCGGTCTGTCCTGGTTCAGATCCCCGAGCATTCATAGTGACACCTTATACCCTACTGGTTTACTACCTAGGACACGCCAGCTATGGCCACAGGTTGGTGAGAGATCCTCAGGTGAGAGATCCTCAGGTGAGAGATCCTCGGGTAAGAGATTTCAATATAGTCAATGCAACGACAGGCATGCGGTTTACAGAATATCAATGACAAGATCGAAGCATGGAGGCTGCAAACAAAAAGAATGCTCCGAGGCGGATTCGAACTGCCGTCAATGCAGTATTGTAGTAAGAACCACAATGCATCATCCTAACCAACTAGACGATCGAAGCTATCGTTGAAGGGGAGCTAAAATTGAGGCCTCATATACTAAGAACTCAGTGGCAACTCGAGCATCTATTGTCCCCTGTTAATGCATTCACCGCTACCTGCATATCCCATGCATCTGATGGCTTACGCTACAAACCAACATCAAACTCAACATGAGCCCATCACTCTTCTTCGACCTCTTCTTCGACCTCTTTCATCAACCACGGATTCAATACCATACCGCCGTGGTCCCCCCAGCGACATGAGAAGCAGCCCACTCACAACTGGGTTCCCGGAAGCGGACCCATGACATGGCCATGTCGTTCCCTGACAAACCTCTCGCCCACCTCTTGGGTGCCAATGGTCAGCAGCATCCTCACTCACTTGCCTTGACCACTCATCTCGACCTCTTGCTAACACCATCAGGCCCCATTCACGCCCTCGCCTACTCGGCCTCCCCGGGCACGTACATCCTAACCGGCTCCGCCGACCGCACTATCCGCCTCTACAACCCCTTCCCCGCCGAATCCCAGTCCTTCGCCAGCAGCAGCAGCAGCAGCAGCATCACCGGCCGATTCAAGCAAGGCGCCCCCGCCGCCCCGCTCCCCGAAGGCCGGCTCATCCAGTCCTACGCAGCGCACGGCTACGAGGTGCTCTCGCTCGCCGTGGCCCCAGACAACCAGCGCTTCGTGTCGTCGGGCGGCGACCGCGCCGTGCTCCTCTGGGACGTGGCGACAGCGACGACGACGCGGCGCTTCGGCGGCAACCTGCACGGGCACACGTCGCGCGTCAACGTGGTGCGGTTCGCCGGCGAGGGCGAGTCGCTCGTGGCGTCGGGGGGCTTCGACACGACGGTGCGCCTCTGGGACGCGCGGTCCGGCAGCGCCAAGCCCGTGCAGGTGCTCGACGAGGCGCGCGACGCCGTCACGAGCCTCGTCGTGCGCGGGCCCGAGCTCGTCGCCGGCAGCGTCGACGGCCGCGTGCGCAGCTACGACGTGCGCGCCGCGCGCTGCGTCGTCGACGTGGTCGGCGCGAGCGTCACGAGCCTCGACGTCACGCGCGACGGCAAGGCCGTGCTCGTTGGCGCCCTCGACAGCAAGCTGCGGCTCATGGACCGCGGCGAGCGGCGCGTGCCTCAAGACGTATGCGGATGCCGCG